CACTCTTCAAGTGCAAACACGAAAGCAGTCAACAGTGTGCTAGGTGACTTGGTGGGATCAATCTCGGGGGCTGCAAAAGCGGCAGCAGATAACGCGAAAAGGGCCATCAATCTGGCGTCTACCCCAACAGAGTTGAATCATGCGATCTCTGCCAACCGTCATGCCACAGCTGCCCTCGAGGCTGCGACTAACGGACAGAATATGAAGGCGGTCAACCATGTCAAGGAGACTGAAGCGCATCTGAACGTGGGCAGCCCTCATTCGGATGAGTGCAAACGGCTCCTCACAGAGCTAGGCTTTATGGGGCCCGGCGTGAGCAAAAGGAAAGGTGCGTCCAGCTTCAGACGCTGGGCTCTGTCTCATCACCCAAAAAGAGGTGGAGATGCGAACCTGTTTGCGAGGGTCAACGCTTGCTATTGGTCCACGACCGTGCCTGCGAAGGCGGCGCCGAGATCAAGGAAGAAAGCGTCGGCCGGAATCATAATTCACCATATCAAGGGCTTATACGAGCGCCAGAGAGCCGAGAACGAGGCGCGGCACAAGTCCGAGTTGGATGCAAGGGATGCAAAGCTACTGGCAGAGATAGAGCGTCTCAGGCGGGAGAGGCCAGCGCCGGCGCCTCTGGCAGGAGGTCCTCCGCCGCCGCCTCCTCCTGGTGGTCGAGGAGGTCCTCCACCGCCGCCTCCTCCTGGTGGTCGAGGAGGTCCTCCACCGCCGCCACCACCGCCTGGTGGTTTTCAGATGGGTGGTGCAGCGGTGGGACCGGTTGCAAAGCTGTTCAAGGACTTGGGGTACTCTGTGCCCGAAGCAAAGAAGCTGGCTGCCGTGATCAAGGAAAGCGCCCCCTTTAAGGACGTCCCAAGCGAGGAGGAGATCGTGACCGACTATGCACCACAACTCCGCTGGGCGGTAGATTCTCTTGTGTACCTGAACAAGGGACTCGTTGCCACGGAGCCCCTCTTTGACAAGAGGTTGGCTGCATACAAGGGGCATTTCTCGAGAGCCAAGGTGACGCAAGCCATTGGGAACGCTAACGTTGCAAAGGTGCGCGATGGGATGAAGGCATCTTTGCAGAAGGCGCAGCATATGAAAGCACTGCAGGACGCTCTCGCCCGTCGAAGAGTCGACTGAAACGCTTTGATCACATCCGGGCGCGCGTACGCCCGCAGTGCGCCGGCGGCCTCCTGCTACAGTCGTCGCACACTGGGCGATGACAGTCGCACAAAGTCAAGGAAAAACTTTGTCCCATGAGTTGTATCAATCATGCCCGAGCAAAGTTAGGCACCGAGTAGGGTTGAACTAGCTCCACGCTCGACCAGCTGGGTATCTGCCCGTACGTACCCTCCGCGCTCGTCCAGTTGGTGTCTGTCCCTATCTCGGGAAGACAGGCTGAGTTCGAATCTTGGACCATTGTAAATGCCTGCAGTAGTAACTGATCCCGGTCGAACATCATCCCGACAAGGCGGCCTTCCGGAGCCTTCAGCGTGTTTCTCAAACGCACCAACCTATCTCGTAGTCGTTGAGATAGCTGCACGGTTGGTCCGTTGTAGACCATAGTGCAAATGCACAGCAGGAGTTGTGAAGCGGCTCCCACGATTAGGTCGTCTTCTTCATTTTCGTCGATAATAGCTTGTAAACGCACGATGGTGGTTGCTCTTTGTTCTGTCTGCTCATCGCACCTCATCAGCACGCGCTCTCTGCTTATCTTGCTCACGGCGCGGCTCACGGCCAACCAATGAGAAGTCGAACTGATATCCCGCATCTGCGCGACGACGGTGCATATTGTCGTCAATTTGTGCTTGGGATTGTCGCCAACGCAACAGAGCACTTCGCCGGCTTGTTGTTCGAAGCGAGGTTGAGACGAACAACGAACGAGAATGCCCACCAGCTGATCTAAATAGGGAGATACGTCGACGGCGGTATGAACATTCTTCGGACGTTGCGCACCTGCATCCTTGTCGAGACACTTGGCCAACGTCGCGAGCATCTCAGGGGAGACCGAATGAGTCTCGAGGTGGGCAAGTGCGATGACGAACGGCCTGATAATTCGTCCCTTGACAAAAGCCTCGTTCGATGACAGGAATGTCGCGGTCGCTCGACTCGAGTTCTCCGCCAAGTATTCCAGAGCCAACAGAGGTTTTTCGTTTTTCCAAGGGATCCTATGACATAGTTGCAGCACCCTGCGTATCACATCCAGAGAATATCGTCCTTGACGAGTAGGTACGTCGTGCTGATCAAAGTCTGCATTGAGCTCGATGCTTGCAATATACTGTGTGGTCGCTTTCAGTATTCCACTGGAATGAGCTGCCTCGACCCAAGCTTTGAGACACCAAAGCGGCCAGCGTGGTGGCGTACACAGATTCATTTTGTACCATACCATATGATTGGCTGAACTCAGTCATGAGATTATCCTACATTATCAGACGCGCCCCATATCGTGTTGCCGAATGGCGTGCAGAAATCGGGTCAAGAAAAATGGTTGGCATCCTGTAACATGTCTACGACTCGCTACTCTCGTCTGCGTATTGCCACCCCCAACCGGCTGCAAAGAGCCCGTGGCCTCCTGCTACACTGCCGATGTTGCACGCAGAGATCCCGACGATCTCTGCTGCCTCCGCTATGGTGCCAAATACGGCCAATTGCTCTCCGGTGATCGGATCCAGCTGGATGACGCTACGATTGGTCGTCTTATTCCTGCCTTGTTCCGTCGGAGTGGCCCAGCGCAGGTTCTCGACGCGGTTGTCCGCTTTGTCTCCGTTGATGTGGTCCGGAGATGCTTGGAAGATGGAGGGGGGTCGAGGAAGGTCCTCCCGATGACGTCGTGGACCCTGAGGTCCCTCAACTTCTTATCGATCGTGGCCCTGAATGCTTTGTAGCCATGCAGGTCTCTGCCGTAGCTCCGTCTCCCCCGCGAGTCTTGGATCCTACCGCGGTCGCTCGCCTGGGTCTTTGGAAGCAGGCCCCAGCTGCTGACGGCCTCCAGCCACCTCTCGCCAGGAAGGTCGGCCTGCTCGGCCAGGTGCTCTGGTGTATATGAAAAACCGTAGTCGCGCCTGATCGTCTCTCCCTTCAGAGACCTTTCGACGAGTCCGTGATTGATTCCGAGCGCTTTGACGGCTGCATTCACCGAATCGAACCGGGTCTCGTCTCCGGTGTGTGCATGGCGCGCGATGATGGGAGTTCCGAGGGTGATCCCGCACTTCTTGCCCGAGTCAGGGTTATCCGCGGCCGTCTTGCGATTGTGATCCGGCCTCGTGAGCTCCTGGAGGTTGGCCCAGTCGTCACCACCACCCTTCTCGATCGGGAGGATGTGGTCGCACTCCATCGCCTCCCCGATGTCGCGGCCGAGGGAGAGCGACAGGTTGAAGCGGGACCTCTTGACCAACTTCCTGTCAATTTTGATGTAGCTGTAGCCGTCAGGGAGCACGGTCCCTTTGAGGACTCTGCCGGACTTGGCACTCCAAACCGATGGATCATTCACTGAACAGACACGGACATTGATGAATCGCAGGGCGATTCTGTCATTGTCTGCCAGGCTAAGCATGGCAATATCTACCATGGCTCCATCTTGCAGTCGTCTTTCGACGAATCCGCTTCACGCATAGCGCGAAGGAGGATGTTCCTAGCACCATTGCAATCCCTGTCCAGGATGGAAGCGCATTGATCACACTGAAGAGTCTTGCTACTGCCCAAGTCCTCCTTCATGTGTCCACACCTTCCACAGGTCTTGCTTGTGTAGTGCTCAGATACGATTAGTACTATGGCGCCTCGGACAGCGGCTTTGGCTTTCAGCCGCTGCATAAATTTGTAGTGGGATAGAAATGACATCTGACGCACGGTCTTGCTTCCAATCCGCCTGCCGACCCGCTTGACCATCTCGCTGGTCTTGAACTCGGGAAGCAGGATCACCTTGGCCTTCCTTGTCAAGAAATCGGCTGTCTTGTAATGGAGTTCGTCTCTGAGGTGTGCCAATTTCTTTCTTACCTTGAGGATCCTTAGTCTCACTGCTCTCCTCTTCCGTCTGTGCTTCTTGATGATCCTCTTCTCAAACGAGATCAGCCTGTCCAGTTGGATGGCCAGTGAGAAGAGACGAGTTGCACAGCCATCTCCAAGCTTGAAGACCTCGCTAGGACTGTATGCGGTCTGGAAGGTCCGAATACCAGGGTCGAGCGAGATCACGGACTCCTTCACCTCATTAATTAAGGAACGCTCACCTTGTCCAATTGCTTCCGGGGTAGGCTTCTGATATGGTATGATAAGATAGTACCGCGCTCCATCGAACTGGATCTTGCAATCCTTGTTGATCTCACCTATGGTCCCGACTGTCTCGAACTCCCAAGGGCAGTAGGTCCCATAGATGATCAGAGTGCGCTTACCTCTCACCTTGATGGCCTTCTTGTCGACACCCAAACACCATCCTCGCCTGTCCTCCTTCTTCCTGGCTCTGAAACCCATGCGGAAATGAGTGATGTTCCCCTGTTTCAGATTCGTGAAGCAAGCCTTTGCATTCTTGGCAGCTTCAAATACTGCAGCTGCCCTGACATTCTTGGGAGTCTTCAGAAGGAACGACGCATGGGAATTGACTTCGACTGGGGTGATGAGATCGCGAAGGTACATCTTGTTGTAGCTTGCAGTCTCGTTCATCAAGAACACCGCTTTATTGTAGCTATACCGAGCTGCATGCCTCCAGTCATTGAGGATCCGCTTCTGATGCTTCTTCGGTAGCAGCCTCACCTTGCGCGTCCTTATGAGCTTGGTCTCCCCTTCCTCCTCGTCCTCGCCCTCCTCCTCTGGTGTATCGTCTTCTACCATTCCATCTACAACTGAACACCTGAATGACTGCAAGCACGTCCTCTGCCATTTCTGCTTCTGGAGACTTATCGTCTTGTTGGAGAACCACGAGCTTGACACCGTGTCTCTCGAAGATCCATGCAAGTAGATCGAATCCGAAACGACACAGTCTGTCTTTAGAGGCAACCACAATCTCCTGTACAAGCCCTCTCTCGCTCTGTTCCAGAAGGGATAGAAGTCCTTTCCTCTTGAAGTTAAGGCCGGATCCAACGTCGCTAACAACTGTGTGTCCGGGATATTGGTCAAGCAGATGCTTCTCCTGGCGGCAAAGGTCATTCTTCTGTTTGTGACTGGACACCCTGACGTAGATGTAGGAGGTGCGCTCACAGTTTGGGTCGAGGCTGCTGAGGTCATATATCCGCTTGCCTCCGGGGCTTCGGTCAACCTTGATCTTGCCGGCGGCCTCCCATCTGATGAGGGTCCTGGTGCAGACGCTGAAATGCTTGGCTGCCTGAGACAATCTGACATAGCCCATACACGTGACATTTGCTGAGAAAATAAAGACTGAGATTTGTACGCGCTTGTCCGCG